TGAATCTATTTTATCATCCTGTTGTCGCGAGTTGAGGGGGAGAGGGAGGACCCCACAAACTCGTGCAGGAAGAAAAGAGAGTATATTTTAAATATATTTTAATAAATTCACTTACCCGCGTAGTGGACCCTACGTCCTGGGAGTGGGTGGCATGGCTCCGGCTGGCTCCGGCAGGTGGACGTGTAATAAGAGGGGGCGAGGTGCGAAGCCCTCGCCATTTTATAGCCTCGGATCGCTGGCGTCGGCAAATGACAACTGGTCACTTGCCGACGGCAGCGTGTCGCGAGGGCCGGAAAGCCATATCGCGACACTGTATCATCAGTGTCACAGAGGCAATTTTATGGCACAATGATCGTTTTTATTGCTTCACTGAGATTGAGACTTAGTTCACAAAACGAAGTAAAAAAGCAGAACAATTCACAAACGTTGATTATATTATTATATAATACTAATGTAGGTAGATTAAATTTATTAACAAAATTCCATTCACTTATTATTCACACATGGTGACGTATCTGAAAAATGTTTAAATGATGGATATGGAAAAATTATTGTATAATTTATCATTATTATTTTAAATTCAAAAATAAAGTAACAAGTAAGAAAAAACATCGAGCTCAACAAATCAATGTTAAGAAACATCTCCTCCAATAAATCGTTGTTAAATGTATCGATGTTTCCTTAAAAATATCGGGTTTGAAAGTATCGTCATCGAAATCACATTTCTATTGCAATCTCTGAAAGCGGATAGCGCGAACCTTGTGACTGCATGCTAGGAAATTCTTTGGAAAGATTTGTGACTGTTGTGTGCAGATGGAAGACAGCGACGATGTTGACTGATTAGGTGATGAGATGATATGCTGCATTATTAGGCTCTGTCTGCGAATTGTTGTCCTAGCTAATGGTATTTTTTTATTTTACATATTAGTATTTACTTTAAGAATAATTCAAATACAAAAAGTCATTTTAAATTTAAATCAAAGAACAACTCCTCACATTTTATCACTAAAGAATATTGGTGAAATAAACCCAGTTTAGTTCTCCTCGGGTGAGTGAACTTCCTCCGTGGCTTGTTCGAGCATCACAGTTATTGAGCTGGGTAGGCACTTTCTTCTTCCTCCTGTTCTGCCCCTTTTCGAAGGTCGAGCGCAACGTTGCCCCCCACCCCCCACCCTCATCCGACCCTTCGTCCATTGATTCTGAAGAAAACCTCCAAGATCAAGTTGCGAGACTCCCGCACAATATGAGAACCGTAACGTAAAGGTAAAGACCAGAAAATAAAAACGGACTCTGTCGTTGTGCGTTGGTGTCGGAGTGCGTTGTTTTTAAAGAAGAGAAATAAAATGATAAATGTCGTTATATTTCTGGCTTTTGATGAAAATAATCAAATTAACAAACGGAAATGGCATATTGATATTACATGTTATTTATTTATTTGTTTGTTTATTATTTAGACATTTTATTCAGAACACTTGCGGGGAAACGGACATTTGGCCTTGTTCCGCTTCCATATGTTCAACCCTGTTATCCGGCGCGAGTCTAAAGAACATTGAGCAAACGCGCCTTGTAGCCCTCGACATGGCTCATTTTCTGTGCATTCTGTATTGGATTCGGTCGCATTTAACAATATATGAACTGCCTGCCGGTAGAACGTGCAATTTCAATTGGACCGGATATTGCTAAAAGAATTTCATTTTGCCGACCACCAAACAGGGTTCTTGTTTAAGCGTGACATGACACACTGAGTATGTTATGCTGTTTCGAAAACCCATCGATCCCAGCCGGGTTAACATAGGAATTGTAAGCCTATGCGTTAGCTCCTATGCCACTGAGAACAGCTCTGCCACGTGAAACAACACGTAAGAACTCTGGGTGTAGTACCTCTGCAGCTTCTCTCTCGACGAAAAACAGAAGAAAAATCACTTTGCTTGTATCGGTACCTACTCTCTCGTACAAAGAAGAAAAAATAAACAAAAGATCAAGTTGGCTGCTCTGCAGTGCCCTTATTAAGGAAGTAAAAATAAAAGAATTAAAGAAGCCTTTAGAAACGCTCAATGACCTTTTAAAGTAAAATATGAAAAACAAAAAACCGTAGGTAAAATTGATTTATTTAGAAACAGTACGAAGTGAATTAGTTTGTGCAAGTATTCTTTGTTGGTAAAAATTAGTACATCTTTTGATGTTCATCGGCAAGGATTTCCAGGCCGCAAATGGCACTTCAAAATTGTGTATCTTTTGGTTTGGTCTTTGTCTCATCTTCCTTATGGTACAGCGTATAGCCTATACTCTTTGGATATAATAATAATAATAATAATAATAATAATAACAATAATAATAATAATAGTAATAATAATAGGTCTAATATAACATACATTTATATATTATACGAGTATAAATGTGTTTGTGTGTGTTTATTGTATATACCTATTAAACCAAAACAATTTTACAGTGTATATGTGGTGAAATGTTGAAGCAATATATCATGGTCTCGATTTAAATAGACATTGTATAGAAATTTGTAAAAATGCGTTTGTTTTTGTAAATGAAATATCACTAGAATCAATAACTAAAACTAATAGAATTTTTCCAATTATATTCAATATTTTCACCGGTATGAATTAAATATATTGTTTTAATTTTTAAGGTTTTAACGATTATGAATGTTTTACAGTGTCATATACAATCTGCAATTAAACACAGAGATGAACAAACGAATTTTCATTAAACGCATTTGAAATTCAGATTTTTGGCACGGTTTTTCATGTAAAAGAAGTAGCGTTGGTGATGTGTAACATTTCAAGTACTCTCTTCTGTTCTGTGCTCACGTTAAGTATAAAAAATCATTTTAACTAACTGATAAAATGAATGGGATTTTTTTTTGTTTTAGATGAAATTGCCACGCCTGAATACTGGCGCTTTGACAGCCCGTATTTAATCCGAGTGCGCTACAAACACAGCGATAATTTATATGATTCACTAAGCACCGAACGCTTGAATCCAGCTGTATTTTTCGGAGTTGTTTGCTTGTACACGGACTGGATAAACTCTGCACATACGTTGTCATTTTGCGAAGAAGCCTCCGAGCCCCCGTGACACCTCCCGCATTGGCCTAATGGATGCGCAGAGCGCCGCTCGGCTGTTCGGCCAGCGGACGGTCGAAGGCGAGGGGGAGAAGGAGAGGAGGAGGAGAAGAAGGAAGAGGAAGAGATGAGGCGTAGGTAATGGAGATATCGGATGAGGAAGGCGGGGCGAATAACAGGGAGAGGCGCGTGTGACTCAAATCGCTGAAGCAGTTGGGGCGTACCGAGGGAAGTGAAATATGATTAGTTATTTTGTTGTTATTGACGTTGTTGATGATTAGGGTTTGGGGAAAGTTGCTGGTTGACAACAATCTTGCTGGTCACAATTGTCAAAAAATAGCCATAATTTGGATAGTTTCCGAGTAAACCTTATTAAATTTCAAGGCGACGAAATTGAGAATACAGTACACTTTCAAAATATAAATAATATATATTTTTACTGTAAAGTCTTCTCAGCCAAGTTTTACGGGTTATATTTACAGCCTAGACAAGCATTTTACAGCCAATACATAAGAAACAAATTAGTTAGAAAAGATTAACAACAGCTCACAAATGTCTCATAACAAACTGTTTGCTAATCAAACGCCATCTTGTCAAAATCGTTAAGTAGTAGGTCGTGTCGAAGCAAAATCTACATAAGCTTTGTAAAAAGGTGTGTTCTAGGCAGAAATTAAGATGCAAATCTTTTTGTAGATGGCAAACTCGAAAGCAATTATAGTGTCGGTGGCAATAAGATTTGCTGTACATGCATTATAGCAACGCTATGTTGGTCGCGGGGTCAGAACCGCTTGCGGTAGTTTGAACCTGAACGGTACTCTGCTACCAGTGTAGTCGAAATGTTCTTTTAGGTTTGAAAACATAGAGCAAAACCGGTTAAACGTTTTAGGAAAGATCAATGCCGATGATGTGACATGGAGGCTGTCTTGATAGAGAGAGATTAAGGAGTTTGTACCACCTCGAACGCAAAGCACTATCGATCTTCTACGCACGCGCAGTTTAAGTTCCGCACCACTTAGTGCGTCTGCGCACGCGCAGAAGATTGATAGCGCTTTATGTTCGAGGTGGCATAAACCTCCTAATAACGTGGAGCCTTCACGGATGTTTGAGTGAAGGTGATTTATGAACGTGCACTGTTACGGTAAAGGCGGTAAACGGTTATGGCTATTTTCATTACAGTGGGAGGGATGAGGAAACTGGTCGTGAAGATAACTCTGATGCGATGAGACGTCGTTGTCTCAATGACCTCTGAACCTGCCAGACTTCGATAGGGTCAGGCGAACTGTCGGGGCGGGGCGACTTGCGGTTGATGGTAAAAGTCGTGGAAATACAAAGCGAGGCGAATAGGAGAAGAATGAAGCTGGCCGTGACGAGGAAGAGCAGGGTGGGCTTTTGCAGGTAGGGAAGTAGACTGATGTAGAGGGTAAAGAATGGAGAGAGCAAATGGGGCGTTGCAAGGCAGAGAAAAGAGTGCGGGGTAGCGAGATGACGACTGATGAAGTGGAGAAAAGTGTGGTGGACAGTGACGTAACATGACGTGAGCAAAGGGGCCGTGGCGTAGTGGAACTAATCTCGGCAAATAGAGTCGTGTGGTAGGATGTACTATCGTGGCAAATAAGAGTCGACACGGAGGGTACGTATCATAGTGAAATGAGCCATGGGGGAAAGTGGGTGAGAGCGTGTCGGTCATGACTTGGCGGAATAAAGTGACGTCTCGTAGTGTGACGTGTCTGAACATGATCTGTCGGAGTGTGACGTAATGAGCGTGCCGTGGCGGAGCGTGATGGGACGGAGCGTAACGTAGTGTAGCGTGACGTGAAGAGCGTGCCGTGCCGGAGGTAGTAGCACTGTGGGATGGGAAGTGGTACGCCCTAGCGGAACGTGGCATGTCGTTGCCAGGTGTGGAGTGTTGTGGTGAGTAGAATGGCCGGTACTAGTGGCGAGAGCGATATGAGAGGATCGTTGTGTGTGGTATTTCGTGGCGAGTCAGGCAACGCCGTCGGCGGCAATTCAGCGAAGGTGCACGCCAAGCTGTGGCAGGGCGGAGAAGGGTGGGCGG